CCCAGGCGCAGGCGCGACTCCTGCTGCGCGGGGCGTGGAGAGCAGGCCGGAGAGCAGAGTTTCAGTGGGGCCTCTGGTCATGGCCTCACTGCGCTTTGCCAGCCCCAGGCTGAGGAACTACTTCAAGGAGAACTACATTCCTCAAGTCTGCGAGGTACTGGAGTCACGCGGCGGAGGAGTTAGAAGAGGGATCAGAAGAAATTTCCCAGCGGAGAAACTAGTGTTTGGCGGGGAGTGGGAGTGGAGGTTAGGTGGAGCGGAGGTTAGGAGGAGCGAAAAGGGAGAGGATGTAGTCTACTTTGAACAGGTCAACGGTCTGGGCTGAAGATACAGATCAGAGTTGAAGACAGAGGGGTGGTGGTGGCCTAAAGGGGGAAATGGGTGACATCTCCCGGGGAGAAAGAGCACAGGGCCTCAAGGCAGAAATCCCAAACTCCCAACTTTTAAGGTTTGGACAAGAGGAGCCTGAGGACTAGAAGAGTGAGAGAGAAGTGCCGTAGAGGCAGAGGAGGAAAAGCGGGAGAGTGTAGCTTTATGAAGAGAGTGGGCAATAGTGTCACCTAAAATAAAGACCCGAAGAGGTGTAGTTGACTTGGCCGAAGGTGAGTTTGGGTTTTCAATAGAGCTATGAAAGCAGACAATTGATTAAAGTTAGCTGAGGAGAGAGTGGAAGCTGAGACCATTAGATGGAAGATAGTCAGCCCTTTGCGAAGGGAAGGACCCCACAACCAGGACTTAAACTGGAGGAATAACTGTTCCTCCCCACCCCATCCCCCATCCCCTATATAACAGGAGGGAAGGACAAGGTAGGGGTGGGTAGGAAGCCAAGAAAGTTCTCATCTCGTGACTTCTATTTTCTCTACAAGTATTAGGTGAGATATTTGCCAAGAGTGTATATGTTCAGGTGGAGATGGAAGGTGCAGAAGAGGTTTTGAGTAGAGATTAGTTATGTGGAGGAGGGAGAGAAGTCTAGGGAAGGAAAGGACAGCCAGAAGTGTTGAAAGCCCAGCTGGGGATAGTCACTCTCCAATGCAGGTGGGAGGGCAATTTGGTACAGCCCCCCTCCTTTTGGATAGTAATTTAGAAATACTTATTAAAATATTAAATACTTATATACCATACCCTTTGACCAAGCATTTCTTCTTCTGAGGATCCACTTTAGAGACATACTTGCACATGTAACCAGCAGGATGTACTGGATATTCATTATAACATTGTTGCTTCGTGAAAATGGTAAATACCTAAATGTGAATCAGGGAATGGGATATTATATAGAATAAAGTATATCTGTACCTTTTGAGAAGAAAGGCTCTCCGTGACATTAAATTTAAAAAAAAGAAGAAAATGCAAGTTGCTTAACAAAGTGTCTTCTATAATGTAGCTATCTGTCTGATGTCATATGTGTGTATATGTGTGTTTATATGTATATATGTATGTTTATATGTATATATGTGTATGTGCATATGTATATATTTAAGACAATAATACATACATAGAACATATGGCTAACTATTAATAGCAAATGCTTTGGAGAATGGTTTTGGGGGGAAACTAATCTTTTACTCTATATACACCTGTATTATAATATTTTATGATGAACTGTGTTCACCTTTTACCTCTATGCAATTATATTTGAAAATGTATAGAAAGCATGGTACCCACCTTCCTAGTTGTATAATTTTCTCAAGTAGCACACAGTAAGCCAGATCCAGGTACGCAAATAAACTTGGCTTCATCCAGGATAGGCGTTTCCCAGGCAAATAGTGGAAGGGCAATGGTGAGGGAGCCAAGCTGTTCAGAGTGCCTGAAGTGATGGGCCAAGGACTTTAAGGATTGAGTGGGAAATTAGAACAAGACATGATGCTGACATGTGGGTAGAAACTGGAAGTTCCTAAAAGATGAATGAAGAGGGGTAGAGGGAGTAATTAAGTGAGGCAGCTGGAATCAGAAAGTGGACTGTTTGTATGGTTATCTTGGTATCTTTTCATCTTTTTGTTTTATTAGACCTTTTTATCTTGGTCAGATATATATTAACATATGACTTCATAGTGCAAAATTCCAAACTTATAAAAAGAAAATGGATTTTAGTTTCCAAGGGGAGATCCTGAAAAATCTGTGAATCATCAATTTTCCTTCTTTGAAACCATTTTTGTACTGTTATATCAATGCAAGTAGGCCTGGAAGGGTGAAACTAACCTCACAGCCAGAGCTGGGGAGGTAGATGGAGCCTCCTCAAAGGACCTAATACAGTCGTCCCTCAGTATCCTGGGGGATGGTTCCAGGATCCCCCACCGATACCAAACTCCTTATATAAAATGGCATAATATTTGCATACAACCTACACACATCCTACTACACGTCACTTCTAAATAAATATTTAAATAAACCATCTCTAGGTTACTTATAATACCTAACACTATGTAAATACTATGTAAATAGTTGCCTGTGTGTAACAAATTCAAGTTTTGCTTTCTGAAACAATGGAATTTTTTTCTAGACATTTTTGGTCCATGGTTGGTTGAATCCATGCCTGCAGAACCCACAGATACAGAGGGCTGCCTATATTTAAGACTCATGATAAAGCCATTCTGAGTGATGACTCAGTCCAGATTGGCCATGGAGCAGGTAGTACAAGTGGACTTGAGTAGAGGGACAGGGAACATCAGGGAAGTGGTAACCTCTCCTTGCCTTGTTCGCCACTTGCCATAACACTACAAAGTTGTATGAGGCATCCCTGTTTCCTCCTCTGGGTGAGAGCACCTCTTCCTCACCAGCTGTCCACACTGGTTTGCCCTCAGAGAAAAGAGGCCCTCAGAAGTGCTCCCCACAGTCTAAGATGATATTCTTACAAGGAGTGCTCCACTCACCTCTGCTACTGCGTTACCAGCAGGTGCAAAAGAGCAGTTTCCTGGGGCCCCACATACCCACCTTACCCTGGTTACCTGCTTCCCCTAAGTGACTGTCAGGATGAATTCAGTGGTGCCTCATATTCCTGTACATCCATTCAACTGACCCTATTTGCCATGCCTAGCACTCTTTAAAAGCCATCTTCTGCAAGTTTTGGAATGTATCATCTTTCATCACAGATTTCCGTGTATATTAAACCTCTTCTGAACTCCATCTACCTGTCCTGAATAAAATCTGGCTGTCTCCTTAGGGTATCATTTTTCTGCAAACCTCTTGAATAGAGGCTGACTTTTAAAAAATCCTGCTTGATTCACTGAACTTACTGAATCTGTTGATTGATATTTTTCATCTGTTCTAGAAAATTCTTGGTCATTTTCAAATTTTGCTTCTACCTAATTCTCTCTTCTCCTTCTGGGACTCCAATCATAAATTCACAAATGCTAGTTTTTATTGTTGTTGTCGTTTTTTACTTTGTTTGCCTTGCCTGTGCCCCCTTTGCTCTGTTCTGTTTATTCCCCATTCTTTTTTTCCCTCTTTACTAAAGTTTGGATATTTTACATCAATTGTCTTCAAGTTTACTGACTCTGTTTTGTGCTGAGTCCAGTCTACTGTTAAATACATCAAATGAATCAAATGAGTTCTTAATTTCAGACAGTATATTTTTTCAGTTTGAGAATGTTCATTTGACTTTTTTATACATTCCAATTAAAATTCTGCATCTTTTCATCCATTTTGTCTATCATTTCCTGTTTCTTTTAACATGTTAGTTGTTCATTTAAAACCATTGTGTTTTAATATAAATAACCTTGAATTAAATTTAGTTTAATTATTAGAATAGAATAAATGTTCTTTATTCAAATTACTGGTATGATTTATGCCTCCTAACTGGACCCTAACTGATACAGAAGGCTTAACTGGAAAGCCACACAAGGCAGCTTTCTGGGGAGTTGGAAAAATGACTGAGGTGTAGGAGTATCCTTTGTCAGAATTATACAGCTAAGATTTGTGCATTTGAATTCATGTAAATTTTACCTAAAAAAATTGTAATTGAGAACAGGTGAGAAAATGAGTGGATATATATATATATATATATTGAGGGAGATAATACAAGGATCACAGAATGGTGATAATTGTTGAAACTGAATGATGGGTACATGGGGTTTCATTATACTGTTGTTTATATGTGTTTGATGTTTTCCATAATAAAAAGTTAAAATAAAAGATAGTCATGGTAGGGTGTTTTTTCTCATAATGTATGTAGCGAGGGGTGGATGAAATGACAGGCTTGATTTGGCTGTATAGTCATTTTCTGTTTGTTTGCTGTATCAATTATCTATTGCTACGTAACACAACTATAAAACTTCATGGCTTAAAACAACATGATCATTTAGTTTGCTCAAAAATCTGAAATTCTTGCAAGGTTTCTCAGGGAGCACTTGTCGCTGCTCCACGTGGTCCCATCTGGGGCGGATAGGCAGGAGATTAAAAATCCACTTTTAAGATGGTTCACTCACATGCCTGGCAAGTTGGTGCTGCATGCTGGCTGGGAGTTCAGTTAGGTTTGTGAACCAGGGGCTGGGTTCTTTTATATGGACCTCTCCATGGGTTGCTTGGGCTTCCTCACAGTACGATGGCTCAGTTCTAAGAGCAAGTGTCCCCAGAGAGAACTAGGTAGAATTTAATCACCATTTATGACCTGAGCTTGGACGTTAACGTTATTTCACTTGGATTCAAGAGGAGGGAACACAGACCCCACTTCTTGATGGGAAGCATAGCAGAGTCACATTGCAGATAGAGCTCACAGCATGGGAGATACTGTTATGGCCATTTTAGAAAATACAATCAGCCACACCTGGCTTGTTCATACAAGGGGGATCCAGGATCAAGTTGGATCTCAAAGCATTATCTGAACAAATAACACATGTATCACAACAGCATCACCCAGTAAGTGGGTTTCCACCCTTCTGTAAATACCCCCTTTCTTTTCTATGCTCCCCCAGGAGCACATGTGTCCTGGACATTAACAAGTTGCCTGCACAACATCTACTTCTCTCTTCCTAATGTTTCTATATTTTCATTCCAAGCCCTACTTCTACCCCACACAGCCTGTGTGCTTCAGGAAAACTGCCTATCCTGATCTCTGGGTTTGGGCCCTGATTGGCTTATGAAACCAGTGCACTCAGGTTCCCTGGCCATAATGTTTGTGGCTATGGCAGCTGGTGGTGAGGACTGTGGGAGAGGGAAGATGGGATCTAAACCAGTTGAGATCAGGTTGCTGGTTGAAATGTTGAGACAGAGATACAGTATCTCTGGATGTTCATGGGGAATCATGTGGCCCTGGAAGCCACTGGTAATTACCTTGTGTCCACAAGGAAAGATCGTTTCAGGGTGAAGTGGAGTCTGAGGAAGGCAGAGTGGGGGAAATGGAAAGAAATCAGGTCTCTAGTGACATCAGTAATTCACTGGGTTAAACTCACCCTAAAGTTTGATCTACCGTTAGAATTTCTAATGTAGGAGGCAACGAATTCCAGGATGAGCTGAGGTTTATTACTTGAAACCTAAAGCATCTGAAGCAACACAAGGGGATTATCTTTTATTGTGAGATTGCCTAGGTTTGGTTCTTGGCTTTGCCAATTACTAATTGTGTGACTTTGAGCAAGTTTCGAAATCTCTCTGCCTCAGTTTTCTTTGTAGTGAGATTCCAGATGGATAAGAGACAGGCCTTTATTTTCTAGAGTGGGAGAAAGGGATTGTGAAAGGGAAAAACAGGAAAAGAAAATTGAAAAATGTGCCCTGAGACAAATCAAGTTTAGGAAAGAATACACGGGAAAGGCGAGGATCTGGAAATGGAGTCCTTTATACTATTCACACTCACGTATCCCTTGTAAAGCCTTTGTGGGCTCCTAGAGGTTTGCAAACCAACTTAAAGACTGCTGGATTGTACATTCTATTCAAGTTAGGTAACTCTTCTTTCTTTCCCTTCCCTCCCCTCCCCTTCTCCTTTCTTTTCTTTCTTTCTTTTTCCTTCTTCCTTTCCTTTTCTTTCTTTTACTTTCCTTTCCTTCCCTTTCTTTCTTTTTGCCTCTTCTCTCCTCTCCTCTTCTCTACTCTTCTCTCTCTCTTTCTCTCTTTCTTTCTTTCTTTCTTTCTGACAGTTTAGGCTCTGAACACCAGCCAGCCTTTTCTTCAGGGAGGGGTGTGGTGTGGCAAGAGTGGTCAGCTAAACTTACATTAGACTATTTAATCAGCAAGTATTTGCTGGGCATCTACCATGTGCTAGTAAAGAACACTTCAATGGCTTCAACCACTTGTAGCTGTGACCCTAAAGCTGTCTCCAGCCCAAACTTTTCTCCTGAGTCCTCTGCATCTGTCTGTTTGGGTGTCCTACAAACACATTAAAGAAGTAAAAGGAATACAAAGTAGATAAACAACGAGATCTTACTGTATAGCACAGGGAACTATATTCAATACCTTGTAATGGCCTATAATGAAAAAGAATATGGAAAAGAATCTTCCTCTGTATATACAGCTGAATCACTATACTGTACCAGAAACTAACACATTGTAAACCGACTATACTTCAGTCAAAAAAAGTAAAAAGAAATAGGTAAAGTTAATTTTCTTAATAAATTTTGTACAAATCAATCTATCCAAAATATAATCATTTCAACATAGACTCAATATAAAGTCATTTTAAATCTTCAAAACTGGGTGTGCATTTTACACTTAGAGCACATCTTGGTTTGGACTAGACACATTCAAGTGCTCTATAGCCACATGTAACTAGTAGCTGTCATATTAGACAATGCAGGACTAGACTATATAAACATATTTAATAAGCCAAAGAAAATTACCTTTGACCCAGAAATGATCATGTCTCTGAGAAGGTATTCTTTTCAAAGGTGCCAAGCTTCTGGAACTTCAGGAAGGGTCTGAGAGGCACAGGGAGGGTGGAGCAGCTGTCTACTATCCAGTCAAGTTGGTCACCTCCATCCCAGTAATCAGTGTCACACATGGGATAGATGTTCTCACATCTACCAAAAGAAATTGATATCTATTTTCAAATCTTCAGCAATCACAGTGATTAGATTTTTATTGTGAAAATTAAAGAAGTGATATGAGAATGCTTTAGACTGAACATTTGTGTCTCCCCCAAATTCATGTTGAAATCTAATCTCCAGTGTGATGGTATTAGGAGGTAGGGCCTTTGGGAGGTGAAGCCCTCATGAATGGGATTAGCCTCACAGTGAAGACTCCAGAGCACTCCCTCGCCCCTTCCATCACGTGAGGGCACTGTGAGACGACCACTATCTATGAACCAGGAAGTTGCTCTCACCAGACACAGAATATCTTGGACTTTGATCTTGGACTTCCCAGTCTCCAGACTATAAGAAATAAATTTGTGTTGTTAATAAGTCACCCAGTCCATGGTATCCTGTTATAGGAGCCCAAATGGATGGAGATGGAGAATAAGTCATAGGCTAACTGTTGGCAGGGCTTATTTCAAACCACAATACCCTTTAAACCCTTAGTTGAGAAAGACTCTAGGGGAGACTTCTGGGGACATGAATAGAGATTCAACAAGTGGCCTTGCTATCTTTCTGAATTTTAACCATCCTTTCAAAGTTCTCACTCCTCAGATACTGTTGTATCTTGCATCCCTGTCTAAATGAAGCCTGTCCCAGTAAAGGACAAATCAAATGTACGGAAAATCAGAGATGGCTAGTGTCTTACTCGGCTTGGGCTGCAGTAACAAAATATCCTAGACTGGGTGGCTTACATAGCAAAAGTTTGTTTTCTTGGTTCTGGAGGCTGGAAGTCCAAGATCAAGGTGTCAACATAGCCGGGTTCTGGTGAAGGCTCCCTTCTTGCCTTGCAGATGGCTGCCTTCTCACTGTGTCCTCACATGGAAGAAAGAGAGAGAGCGAGCAAGCAAGCAAGCTGTTTGTGTCTCTTTATTGGATGGTGCTCACCCCATCATGAGGATCCAACCCTCACGACCTCATCTAAACCAAATTATCTCCCAAAGGCCCTGTGTCCAAATGCCATCACATTAGGTATTAGGGTTTCAATATATGAATTTTGTGGGGGACACAGTTCAGTCTATAGCAGCTAGTACATGTAAGAAAACTAGTCTAACCCCACTGACAAAAACAAAATGTACCGGAAAATGAACTATTTTCCACCCATTCATCAATAAAAATTTTATAATTCTCTGTTGGCAAGGTGAAAGGACATTCCTATTTGCTGCAAATGAAAATACAAATGGATAAAATCTTTGTAGAAAGCAATTTTGAAAGGTGTACAAAGAGCTTCAAAATGCACCTCTTGACTCTATATTCTTATAGAACTCTATCTTAAGGAAACAGGTGAAGATATGTATATTTCATCATTAATAGTGATAATATGTGTATCATATAATATTTAATAGTGGGAAAAAGTTAGGAACAACCTAAATGCCACCCATTTAGAACTTACATGTATATATTTATTTTTTTTGCAATAGATTATCACCCAACCTCAATACATGATATTTTGAAGAAGTTTTGGTGGACATCGATAAATGTTCACAATATAATAATTAGCCAGGAAAAAAAAGGAGAATCAAAACTATATATGCTATATCCTAATTTTAATTTTGTAAAAATTATATGTATTGAGGCAAGATTGAAATTAAAATTTTTATTAGAGGCTATTTCTGGTTGCTAGGATGATGGCTGATTTTTCTTTTCTTTTTTTTTAAATTTTCCAAATTACATAGAGCATATATTATTTTTATAATCAGAAAAAGTTTACATCTTAAAACAAAATAATTAAATGTTGGCTTATGTGTGGGGAAAAAATGCCTCTTTTTTTGTTTTCCCACAGTATTATCAAATGAATTTTATTGATGGAGAATTAGGAGAAAAACATACAAAGAAAGCACAGGAAGCATATAAAAGCATTCATTGCTGGGAAGTGCTGGTTTCCCATCCTAGGAGGCCAGCTGGCTGGCCAGTTTGCAGGCTTGCATCTGGTCTCTCTGGGGCAAGAGCACTTTTCCGCTGGTTGCTGTGCCAGTTGAGGTGTGAACATACTGTTTTTTAGAGAGCCAGTTTCTGTTCCAGCTCATGATGGCACCTTCATAAAGCCCTCTCACTCTGGCCTGTCTGCGACTAATTGCATACTGACAGATTTCCAAAGGTTTCTTTTTTTTTCAAGCAGAATCTCAGGGTTCTGAGGACTCCTTCTGGGGATGCAACAGGAGTTTGCTTTTTTTTCAGATTTTTTTCCCCCTGACTTAAAAAGTTAATTTGAACTATACTCCAATTAAAAAAATTAAAAATAAAAATAATAAGCTAACTTGAAACCACTGTGATCAATCACAGGAGATAACGGTTTCCTTCATGGCTCATGTCCCCTGTGTTGCTGCAGACTTGTGTTTTCCATCGTAGGCCACCAGCCCCTAGCCCAGCTTCCCTGCAGTCTAGATGTATTGTTTATACAGCAGATACAAACATGGAGACATAGGATGGCCTTTGTTTTTTAGACCTTGGAGTCAAGTAGTTTTTTTATAACTTTAATTTTAGATTTGAAATAAATGAACTAAATGATCAAAGACTTGGAAATCTGGGCAATAAAATACCCTCTATATATTATTTTAAGGTTTGAGGAAAATGAAAATACGTTTTATAAGTTCTAAGTTTTTAAAAAAACTGTCTACATATAGACACTCAGAGCCTACGTGAGGAATTGTGGGGAAACTGAGTATTGCCTTCTAATTTCTCTCTCTCACTATAATCATCATTTCTCTCTGAGAACTCTGAAATTCTCATTCCACTGCTGTTGGACTCTCCTTCCTTGCAGATATTCTTTCCAAAAGACATTGGTATTTTAAAAGATATCATTTAGATAGGAGCCCATAAAATGAAGCCCTATGGCAGAACATCAAACAGTAGTTCATCAAAAATATTTGGAAATCTGTTTCTCCCTCAGTTTCCTACATACTAGGCAGAAGTCAGCATGGTCTACAAACAAGGCCTGCCCATAGGGACCAAAGATGGGCAAGATATTAAGGGAACAGTGTCCATAAAATTATTAAGCAGCTAAACACAGTGATTATAGCTGAGAGTGAGAAAGTGCTTTTCAAGTTGTTTGTTCAGATTTCCATTTTAACAGCTAGGAAAGATTAAAGGAGTTTGCAAAACTAGATCTGCCCAGCAGAGGGCATATTTAAGTTACAAATCATGATTTTTATGCAAAGTTTTCTATTTTTCTATTTTAGAAATAAATATACAAATGATTTTAGATTTTTATGATTTTGATGCAGTTTTTATGCTTTGTGTTTCTGTCATGATTAAGTTTCTAATCTGTATTTTTAAAATATATTTATTTCTAAATCACATAGGTTGTATTATCAGAATTTTTTTAGAGACTAGTTGCTGCAAATATTCATCAGGACTTTGCATATATTAATTCCTTTCATTATCATGATAGCCCTATGACATATGTAGCTTTATTATCCCACGTATAGTCATGGAAATGGAGGAGCAAGAGAAGTCACTTGGCAGTGGTTACACAAGATCCAGGATTGCAGATCCAGGATTTAAACCCAGTGGACTGCACTCACTGCATTATCTTGTTTTCTTGAAAGATGGGTAGGAGTGGGAAGAAGTAAAAACAACTGTCCTGGATAAACCCCTGTTTGTTGTCAGTACTCAGACATTTTTCAGGATGTTTGAGAAAAATGGCGCAGTGAGATTAAGGAGGCAGAACCAAAAGATAGTGGAGAATTGCACAATTGTTTTGTGAATTTACAAGCCTGAGAAAGCCAATTAAGTCATAGTCTTTTTTGTCCTTGACTGTCTAAGTTTTCACTAAGAAGGCTAGCAATAATAAAGCCCTGATTTCTTTTTTTTTTAGAGTCAAACATTCATCTTGTGGGAATGTTTGCATATTTCACCTCTGCTTATAAAAGACCAAGCTAATTGTTTTATAATTTTTATTTTCACTGAGCAGAAAGAAAAAACATATTGACTCACTATGTTTCTTATTTGCATGTAGCTATGTACTGTTCACACAGTAATATATGAAACCTCAGGATATTTTATTTTGCCCAGTGAGAAGCTATGAACAGTGAGGTTTCTTATGCAAAAAGTGAACATCTGAAGTATGCTAGTTCTGTATGACTTTATTAGCATTCCAGAGACGTATCCTTTCAACTTGATTTGATTTCTGCAGGATAACTTTTCAGAAAAAGTAGTTTTCTGGTCCCTGGAGCTTAGAAATAAAAAGAAAATAAGCAATTTCTCATACTCATTAATTAGATCCCAATTTTCTTAATAATTTACTTTAAAGCTGAACTCCAGTAAAGCACTAGTTCTCAGATTCTACTGTGCTAGAAATCACCTAGGGAGCTAATCAAGGCCCCATCCTCAGAGACCAATTCACTCCATAGGTCACTCTGAGGCAGCTGTCCTCTAGGTACCAAAATAGGATGAAGCAGAGGATGTGGAGCAGGGAGTAGAGGAAATCAGTACTCTGGGGTCAGAAAACAGATGGGCTTTTCATTAGGGTTATTCAGGGAGCTGTCGAAGCCTGGCCTCCAGGCCATAGAAGATTTCAGCCCTTAGTAATAGACTAAGAAGACTATTCAAATCCAATTGCCACCGTTGGTGAGAACACTGATCTCCTGTGTCACTATATTCTCTAGGTTTGGGGGAGAAGGAAATCAGTCTGCAGATGGCTGAGGGCTCTCTGAGAGCAGCTGGTGGGGGGCTAGGTGAGGAGGCAGAGCTGGGGAGGGAGAGACATTAAGGTCTACCATTTTGCCCTAGTCTTCAAGGCTGGGTTCCCAGCCTGTGTGCTGCACACAAAGATGGGGTAATAGCTACTGCAAAGGGGAAAATGTGTTGTGCAGGGCCAGTCAGGAGAAATTATCCTCTTTTTATTTGAAGGAATACTATGAGGACTGCTGAGAGTCTAAGACAGGACTCCCAGGCCTCGATCTGCTGACACTTGGCCCTTGGAGATGGGAAGAACTCTGCATGACTCAGGGGTGGAATTATTTGTTCATGGGAGAGAGGAGTAGGAAAAAGCCAGCAAGAGTAGGCCCTAGTGGAAGAAGGGCCAAAAAGAGCACCTCCCCACCAGGCACACGCGCACGCACACACGGACACACACACACCAGGACACCCAGCAGTGAACCAAAGAGGCAAAGAGGAATGTCTAAGGAGGACTGCATGTGGTTTCTGTGGGGTGTGTGCTGTAAACCCTTTTCTCTGTCTCAAATGGAGATATATTCAATATACGCCTCACCAATCCTTTTACAAGAAGTTTCTTCTTTTGGGAAGAAACTCATAGAACAAACTATGACAGCAGCAACTTCCTGAGGTTCCATATATGTGCCTTAAATGTTATCTTGGATCGAATTCAGTAAGTTATTTGTTTCTCACCTATGTGACCTGTGCTGTAATTTCTCAAGTACATACTCTGCAGCTGCTGTGAATGATAAAATACAGAAGCATTTTAAAAAGACTTTTTGAATTCACAGTAGATTTTGATATTGATGGTGGATTTTCTTAATCAGTTTTATGGTTGGGTCTGAGGAGTTTTTGACTTTAAAAAGGAGTTCCTCGTATTTAAAAAGAGTAGAAACCACTGATCTAAGGTAATCGCAATTATGTCTTCAGTGGGACTATAAAGTGCTCCTCATATAATGCAAAACACTGTACAACAACTTTTGCATTTACAGCAGATTTTTTTTTAAAGAGTGAAGGTAAACTGCATTTTGGTTTGGTTATTTGGTAATAGTGAATAAATATAAAGGGGTATCTATAAAGCATGTTTACTTAAAAAAAAACCTGTCCCATTATTTGACTTTGTCATTGTCTGAGAGAAAGTCTTTCAAGTAAGAACATGAAAATCCAGAAACACTGATTCTGTTTCTTTTTCCCCAGGCCCTGTTATGTGGTCTACTTGCTACATGTCCTGAGGATCCCCTGAAGTATTTAGAGGAAATGATCATTGCTATAATGGAAAATGGTCTTGAAAGTCTTCTCTGGTAAGTATTGTTTTGATTTATGGTAGGGGGTATTTTATATTGAAGTTAAAATACTCATTGGTATAGCATCAAAAAAAGGTCTTGCTAATGAATGTTTCTAATCTCAAGATTGTTAGAGAACCCCTCCATAGGTTTCTAAGTCCCAAAGGCTTCAAAATAGAAACAATTTCCCCACTGGTTTTTAACTTGAGAAACATAACACACTATCATCAATAATGTGCTCATACAGCAGTTTATATCAAGTTAGAGATGGGGAGAGTGAGGCATGCCCTTTTGGGGGGCACAGCAAAATCCTGAGGGGAATAGTTTGAAAAAGCCCTCCAGGTGACTCTGACATGCCTCTCCCAAAGGGAAGTGTTCTTGCTTCCCCTCAACCCATTAGAATCACTGATTTAATTATATGGAACTAACTAATATGAAACAAAATTAATTTTTGACTGCATTTTATGATTTTATGAAAGGGATATATGCATTGATCCATCAATGAAACCCAAAATTCGGAGACTGTCTGAAACTTACTTGGAACAACTTTTTGGACTGGATGATCAACTGGTAAGTATTATTAATCATGCATTCTAAACTCTAAATCTCAAGTTTGGATGGAAGCTCTCTAACAGACTTTAGATTTCATCAGAGGTTTGAGGTCAGACTCTTTTTGAAACTGGGGGCATTCAGAAAAATGAATTTACACACACAAACACACAGCCACACTCATAGTAACTTCCCCAAATTTCTAAGAAGCATCTGGACAGGCATTTATTCCTCTTCTTTCCAACAAAATCTTTCTATTAAATTCCTCCTTTCTCTTTCTCCTCCTCTCTTACAGAAAATAGCATTATGGAAAGTTTTAAAGGAGGATATTTTCTTCCGTTTCTAATCACTTCCTCTGTATCCCATCCCCCCTCCATTCTCTCTGCCGTCTGCCCAGGAATTATGCTCCTAATGATATGGCTGAAACATTAATGAGATCTAAGTTAAAAGCCAGACCAATTTAATGAAAGGAACAACCCGTTCCAGCAGCTGGTTTTGATCCTGTCAAGAGGGCAAGGAAGTAATTCAGGATATGGAGACTTTTAGAACAAAGACTATGTATCTGAGAGAAGCTAAAATAGCAAAAGGCATATGTGGGGAGAGAAACAGCAACACCAATTAAGCGTATGATACCTCTAGATCCCAGGCTGGTATCTCAGTGAGTGCAGGCAGCGCTCTGGAGTTGCTGGTGAAGTTGGACACTGAAAAGTGGAATCAAAGTCATGGTCGAGGTGGGTGCTGAGAGCCTGGAACCGTCTGAAGCATCGTTTAGAAGGATGGGTGCAGAGTAACACTAGATCCTAATCAGTGGTCTACAAGAAAAAGACAGAAATAGAGGGATGAGATGTTTCTGCCAAGCTTGGATGATTCTGAGGCACCAACACACTGGGAAGGACCCACATGATTGACCCTCATTGATCTGCATCATACCGTGTGGTGTCTTAATGATTATCAGCCACAGAATTTTGATCCACCATGAGGTGCAGATACCTGCAAACTGCGTTCTTGGAGGCGTTTGGGGGCAATATCAGGAGCTGGGGTTGGGGGAGACCCAGGAAATGGGATTCTTGGTCCTCCCCTCCTTACCCCTTCCCCCACAGAACAGTTCTGCACTGAGTGTAATGTCACATGAAAAAAGCTTGAAAACCACTGCTGTAAGATACTAAAATTATTAAAACCACAGATCTCGAGGGGTAAACCTCATTGTCAGTATTTTGAAAATGACCTTACACAATCAGATTGTGGCCAATGACTAGCAAGAAGCCTATAAAGAATCTTTAAAAATATTCACTGAATTCTAAGAGACACCATAGCTTTCTTCGAATCTAAAGTTTTTTTAGAAAAGGAATTCTCAGATATTTCATGACATTGAAAGCACAAAATATTGTAAACTGGTAAGATTTAAAAAGGAGTATGACAATTCACCAAGGCTTAGAAAGGATGCCTGCTTTATATTCATAAGTTAGGGAAAAAAGAAACTAGATATGACTTTGCCAATGTAAATCTGTAAGTGCCTAGCATTGCTTGGGGGGCTCAGCCTAGGTTGGATAGATTAATTCATTTCTCCTTTACTCTCACAGAAGAATGAAATTTTATTTTACTTTTTTACAAAGAAGCCAGGCATTTTAATCCTCAATGTTTCTAATATTTTAAATTATAATATACTAAATAAATATTAGCTTTGCTCCCCACTCCCATTTTTCTTCCTTATACAGTTACAACTGCCAGTCAGAGAATTTTCAATGTTTTGATAAAACATTTTATAGTCACAGACAGTTGTAATTTTTCCCATTGATCATTAAGATTGCCTTGCATGGTTTCAGTGTGTAGTCACTTTTATGGCCTCACCCTACACAGTCCTGTACAACAAGACAGCCTGCTTATGTGCCTATTTATAAATATGTGTTTGTTTCTATTTGTGCAGACAGAGAGGTTGAACACAGGAAGCTGTGAGTAAGCCAAACTGTTATCAAAAAAAATAAAAAAGAAAAAGAAAGAAAGAAAGAAAGAGAAAGAAAGAAAGAAAGAAACTACTTTCATAATAATAGATAGAAAGACAGATTAACTGTGTGCTCCATAATGAAAGAACCAACCATTGTAAGGAGGAAACTAACTTCAAAGACTTGATTCTCATTTCTTAGGAAATGAAATCTCCAGATGGGCCTACTAATTACAAGAAGAAAAGGCATCTATAACATTAAAAATATATATTTTTAATTATAGAAAAATTTAAACATAACCCTTAAGTAGGGAGAATACATAATGATCTATCATTCAGCTGAAACCATAATCAACATTTTGCTAATTTTGGTGGGTTTTTAAAATTTTTGAATGCACTTTTATTTTTCTTTACTTTCCATTTTATACCAGTGCTAATGGAGAACAAAACAAAGGGCACCAGACATTTTGCATTAAAAAATTTTCTTTGAGATTTCAGGATCAATGAAAGGTTTTTCCCCTCTCATTTAAATGCCCCCTGAATCAGGGAGCTTTAAGTAAAAAGATACTGGAGGTGGCAGGGAGATGTTTTCTATTTCAGGATTTATTAAAGGTATGGTTTCTAAATTTTCTACTTGGCAGTTGCATGCTTCTTCTTCTTCTTTTCTTTAATTCAGAACATAAATTGTCTTCTGCTAACTTTATTCCAGGTTTCAGGGGTTAAAGTCATTGAGACAATACATGTGTACTTTTTCATTTTAGAAATTTGTCTATTAACAGAGTGAGGCAAATAGGGTAGAAACTTTAGGAACAAATATTTGCCTATCTTGTTAATTATTCTTCCCTCCCCCTTTTGCTGCAGTATTAGAAAGTAATTCCCAAGAATTGTACTATTTTGCCAGTAAATAGTTCAGTGTGTAACTCTTAACAAGAAATAGCATTTTAGAGAATGTAGTACAGTGCCGTTATCTGTGAAATGTAATGAAATTAGCAATCATTCCTGCATATCCTCTAGTGCTGATTATATTCATATATATTATATATATTCCATATTCAGTTCATATTTGAGCTTCCCAAATTGCCTCAAAAACGCCTTTTTTACATATGGCTCTGTTAAATCAAAATCCATCCAGGGTCCGCATATTACACCTGGTTGTCTCGTCATGTACCTAATGTCTCTTGTAATCTTCAATAGTTCTCCTTTTTTCTTTTTTCCCATACTTCAACTTATTTGTTGGAAAAAACAGATCATCTGTAAAATGTCCCACATTTTCATTTCTCCTCAAATCCTTCCATTTGTTGTATTTCTTGCAAGTTTGTAGTTAGATCTACACAAGTGACAGTCAGGTTCTTTTTTCCTTTTTTCCTCTGGTGACAAGGATACTGCAGAGGGGGTATTGGGTTCCACCTAGTGCATCATATCAGGAGGCACCCATGGGCTGCTTGACCCACTTTTAATGAATCTTGATTCCTATAGACATCAATCTAATTCTTTATTAGTTTCATCCCACAATACACGTATGATGGTTTTGAAATAACAATACAAGACTGTTAACCATAGAAATATGGAAAGCAGTTTAAGAAAACCATGCAATTCTTTTTGCCTTTAGTATGTATATGTCCTACCTGGTATTTTCATTAAAATAATACTTTTTTTGGTTAACCTAGAATAATTCTTTTTTTGTATCAATGGTCATCTTTTTTCCTCTTTGATAATAATTATGCATAACATTCCTGAGAGCAAAATCAAAACAATAAAATGAGGAGTATTCAGAGTATTGCTTCCTTTCCTGCCTCTTTACCCAACCTATTCCATTCCTTTCTCTAGGTAACCAATTTTGGTAGTTTTTAGTTTCTGTCTCCATTGTTTCTTTTTGAAAAAATATGAGCAAATACACTGAATCTTCCACCCCTTTGACTTCTTACACAGAAGTAGCAGACAATGCAGCCTTCTGGCTTTTCTCACTCAATACATCCTGGAGATCGCCCCCTTACACGACTTTTAAAATTATGCTATTAGAGGGAGGACTGTGTAACAAAACCCAATCTAAATGAAAGATGTGGACTTAAAAAGTCTTACTGATGTAACAAACAAAGTTTAACTATGAGATGGAAACTTCACTTTATGACCTCAGGGGCTGGTGTTCTAATACTTTGGGAGAGGCAGACAGATCTTGTGCTGCAAACAAGATAACCACATCTTAAATCCTTGCTGGTTTGCAAAAGTATTCCTTTTCTTTTGAGATTGGGCAGATTACTGTTTTCTGAGAAGGCATCAAAATAAGTGTTACTGTAACTTGGAAGGAATAAAAATAATGAAGTGTAGAAATAAAGACTAGATTCATATTGTTTACTTTAGGATAAGTTTAAGTGTAAAGTAACTAATAACAGCTAATGAAATGGCATTTATGTCTGTCTGCTACGTATGGTATTTGGCAGTTCTAAAAAACATCCTTGCAAGTTTTGAATTTAGCTCACATTGTTTCAGGGACTTGGTAAAATCTGCAATAAACATTTCCATGTTTAGGAAGAATTGATTTTTCAAACTTTGCTTATTTAAATACCTGTTTGTTAACTAGAGCCCTAAAATACAAATAGCAGTGAGTGTTTCTCTCCATGCACAAAAGCCCCCTGGGCGTGAAACACTTTTTCAATAATTTGCAGAAGATCAAAAAATTAGAAAACTGCTCATCGTGAAACATCCACCGCTTCATGTCATCCATGGTATTGCATGTTGGACACTGCTCGCTTCTGCATTAAAGACATGGTTTCTTTTTACTATTGTTGTTATTACTATTAACTTTTACAGCCTATGAAAAATAAAAAATTCAGAGGTAGGAGGGATTTAATTATGCATTCAAAACGTATTTATAAACCCTGTCTTAGTTTGTTCAGGATGCTACAATGAAAATACCATAGACTGGGTGGTATTGAACTAGAGAAATTTATTTCTCACAGTTCTGGAGGCTGGGCAGTCCAAGGCGAAAGCACTGGCAGATTTGCTGTCTGGTGAGAGCTCGCTTCCTGGTTCACGCATATGTTCTATCTATTAAACTTAACAAAGCATTTACAGCGATGTGCAAACAAGAAAAATGTTTGACCTAGAAAAGTAGAATTTGGAATTCTGAACCAAACTTATCTCTTTGCTCAACAGATGTGACTATATGTTTGCACATGTATATGATAATTAGGGGGGTAATAACGTAAGAGAAAAACATATACCATTAGCACTTAACAGAAGCCATGTACCTATAATAAATGGATTAATATAATATTATTTTTACTCTAATGTAATATAATTACAGACGATTTCAGAATCTTTGGTTGGCTGTTCCCACGTTCATAGTGTCTTATTGTGAATAGTTGCAAGTGATAAATTTGCAAAAATTTTATCTCTTTCAGCGTATTCCACAGTTCAGTCGTTTAATTTATGTGGTTTTCCATATCCTGCTTGGCAAGTGAGGTATTCTTGCATGTTTGCTTTTTTTTTCTTCTTTAAAACAGGGAATCTCATTTTCTGCTTGAGAAGGCAAACAAAATCATCCAGTTTAATAGTGATGCTCAGACCGGCAATTCTATACTCCTAACAATAGAGTTAATAATAATGCCATAGTACTTGCCTTAAAATGCTTTAAAGTAAGTGCAATATAATGGGAAACTGTTAAGCTGTGACTTTAACTTTTAAAAATTAGATAATAGGCATACACAATACAATCCCAAAATATATAAAGAGTACATAGTTCTTCTAGTCTGTTCTTGTTTCCCTACTGCCTAATTCTACTCCCCAGATGCAACCATCGCTCTCATTCTCTTGTGTATCTTCCCGTGAGCTCCATTTATTTCTAAGGCTTGTTATTTCATTTCTTTATTTTAG